ACTTGACCTGTTTTTGGAGTTTTGACAGCCATGCATCTACACACACAGACACATACACCCTTCTAACTCTGTTGGAGCAGGTCATTGGACTAGAATTGGCAAAGCATCTCTGATTACATTCTAGTAGTGAATAGAATCTAATCAGAGATGCTTTGCCAATTCTTGTTGATTTGTTTTATTTGTATTTCTTTATTTTATGTTGCTGAATTGCATTGATATGTGTGTCTTCTTATGCATAGCCCAGAGGCTTTTGTGATTCTTTGCAGCAAAAATGACCGACCTCTGGCTTTGCTCTACCTTTCAAACGCGCTGCCACTGCTGTGTTCTATGTGCCAGCCCGGCAGGTCCACCCCATTGAGCCCGCTGCACTGGAGGGACCTGCCCAAAAAAGTCCAAGTGGAGCAGTGCATGAAGTCAATGGGGTAAGCCTGAGAGGCAGAGAGAAAAGGGAGAGAGAAAGAGAGAGAGAGAAAAGAAAGAGAGAGAGAAAGAGAGAAGGAAGAAAAGAAAGAGAAAAGGGACAGAGAGAAAACAGGATAGACAAAGAAAGAGGGCGGAATGGAAGGAAGGGACAGAAAAAAAAGAAATAAAGAAGGAGGGAGGGAGGAGAAAAATAATGAGATATCTATTCTAGTCCAATCACCTGCTCCAGCAGAGTTAGAAGGGAGTGTGTGTGTGTGTGTTCTCTTTGTAATTAACCAATACATTTTTGTTTTACCTACTTCTGAATTGGCACTATAATACATTGGGGAAAAGTAATTTTTTAGGGTGGAGGTCTAGTCCAATGGATCCTGTTTAAAGCCTCAACAAAATGTGAGAGCTTCCTGATAGGTTTGACCATGTTTCGTCCACAAAACCTTTAATAGAAGCCAAAGATGTTTCAATGTGCTGGCAAGATCCTGGCAAAGATGCTTCAATGTGGAAAAGGGCCTGTAAACTAGGCCTCATTTCAATCTGATGCATCAGGTCTCTCTCTCTCCCCCTCCCCTCTCATTCTCTCTCTCTCTCTCTCCCTCTCTCCCGCCCTCCCTCCTTCCCTCAATCCCCCCCTCTTTCTTTGTCTGTCTCTTTTCCTTTCTTTCCCTTTTCTCTTTTTTTCTTTTCTCTTTCTCTCTCTTCTCTCTCTCTCTTTCCCTCTCTCAGGCTCACCCATTGATTTGGTGTACCGCTCTGCTCAGACTTCCTTGGGTAGGTCCCTCCGGTGCAGTGGGCTCAATGGGGTGAGCCTGTAGGGCCGGCGCCTCAAAAGCGGCAGAGGTGGCCCATTTGAAAAGTAGCTTTGATCTACTTTCCCAATGTGCCGCCATCGCTGGATTTGAGGCGCTGGCCCCGCAGGCTCACCCCGTTGACTGCTGCACTGCTTTGCTCAGCAGAGAATTCCAGGTGAGACCCAAGCAATGACCAGCCTTTCTCATGGCTACCAGCAAGCCAGGCAGGTGGGGTTGGGAGGAAGCTTGCTAAGCCATGAGTGCTGCATGGAGCCTCGGCTTTGTTGGCTAAGCAAGCTGGGCAAGTGGGGTGTGGGGAAAGCTTGCCAGGATGAGGGCAGTGGCAGCACCGCGATGGTGGTCTAGCTCTGGGAAAACACCATGTATTACATTTATAAAGAAACTGAAAGGAATGTGTTAAACTATGGAAGCTAAACTGCCTCGCTCTGGATATATTTTCAAAATATTAACCATCATAAAGGATTGTGCAAAGGAAAATGCATTATTTACTTTAGTTTCTTAACTGTGCATTCTGGATTATTGAGCCCATCACATAATAGTTCCATTATTTTGTGAAAAACTAACAGGAATGTATTCTTATAGCAATTGAAAGGAATGTGATTATGTAAGGCAACTGAACTGCCTGTCCTGGATATATTCATAGAATATTAACCATCACAAAAAGGGGTTGTGAAGATCAAACTGAATGAAAAAAGAGTCACTTACAGAAGCATTTCTATTGCACATTCTAGATGTTTCAGACCCTCACATAGCATTTCCATTGCTTTGTCATCTGGATTCTTGAGGGACAAGCTGAATATATTCAATTTCTGGTTCTTCCTGAGGACTTCTGCAAGATGCCTGCTGGAGGATTCGGTCAGTAT